TATGTATTATGTTTTGTTAAACATTTTTAGTGAAATAAATACATTTTTATTTTTATTACAAATTTGCTTTTCTCTCTCTTTTATTTTAAGTTGCTTAAAATTCTGATATGTCAAAGTGGTGAGCTAACTGTTAGAGCTTTTCTTCCAAAGAACTAAAATCAAAATATTATATTTTGATAATATTTAAAAATCAAAAATAAGAAATAACATATTTACTGACTGTCATGTGAAAAGCACATTTAAAAATTGTTTAGGCATTCAATGTCTACTCAACTCGAATATATATGTTTGTATTTTTAATTCCTAATAATCCCAAGGTATGTATTGAAAGGTGTACTAAAAATATATGAATGTTTAGCAAAGATACAAAATATAAAATATATACGAAAATTCGAATATACAATAAAATGAATAATGATAAATCATTAACAAATGGAGAGCAAATGGATTTGATGAAACAAGTGTTTCATCTTAATTATCATAGGAATGAATCAAATTTATTGTATATATGTACGTAAATTAACATATATACATATTTACAGAAAGAACTCTTATATTGCATAATATAGGCGCGATTTATTTGATGGTTGTACTGAACGCTTCAAGAACTATAAGCTGTAAGAAATATTTATATTACATATATTGATAAGCTAGGGATATATTTTGTTTATACCTGTTTATATCCATTTAAAATGGAAGTGCAGGGTATAATTTTTATATATTCACATATATATGTGGGTAAAAATGAAAGGAAGGTATTATAAAACCTAAATATTATATACATATATTCTTCATCAGGATCAACAGCCGAGACTACGGCCCTTTATACGTCTGTCTGTTTTTCTGTCTGAATGTATATGCTGATCTCAGAATTAAAAGAGTCTGAAGACTTGAAGTCGGTGTCCCTATCGCACGCTTAAATCAACTTTGTTTCATTTAATCGATAGTTCCTTGTCAATGTAGTTCATTAAATACGTTCTATCTATCTATTCCATCTCTGGAGCTTAAGAAATCATTTTGATTTTGACTTTCAATGTTTGAAATATTTATATGATATTTAAAGAATCCCAAGCAATGTGAAAATGCTGCTCGGCTGTAGCTCTGAGATCGTTTAGTCGGACGTTCCCGGCTATAGTTTGCTTTCTTGTTAATTTGCAAGAAACAAAGTATGAAAGTAAATAAAGTAAATTCTAAGAAATATTTGTAGCAATAATACGAAATCATATAAAATCAATTTAGTTCGTAGGTTTCCAGTTTTTATTGTTGGACTAAATTCTGTAGCTCCAAAAGTCAATTTGACTCCCTGGTAGATGATCAAGGTTTGCTGAATGAATATATATTGGATAGGCATTTGATGGAGATCAACTTTATCCATACTGTGTCATACTGTGAAATAGATATCTAGCATGTATACCATATGATACAAGATATGCCCATTTGTAAGTTTATTTAATGATTTCATTAATATGTAGTTAAGTTAGATGCTTAAGTGTATAGCCGCAAAGGAGTAATTAATTGTTTTAAAAAGGTTTCCCGAAAACGAATACAGTAACTTATAGGATCATAGGATTACCATTATGATTAGGCCCATAGGCATTAAGTTAAACGTAGTTTTATGCGAGTTAGAACAAATTGTACATAAAGCTAACGAGCTAAATACCATTCAAAGATGTGATTTTAACAAATATATATATAGAGAAACGCAGACCCTTGCATACAAATGGGACATACATATATATATATATTTGATATAAGATTTTGTACATATGAATACTTCTGCAATTAGTTGATAAGTCCTACAAAGATTTCATCTTGTTTTGCTTCTATCATTTTGCATAAATGGAACGAAAAGTGCAACTCAGAGGTGAAAGATGCTCGTATGAATAATCAAACTGTATTTACAAAGCTCAAAATATGCGAGAAGGCTGTAAGACACTAAATATTAACTAGCTAGGTTAATTACAATAGGATAACCTGTCTACATATACATTGAAGTATTGTGGGGAAGAAATAATATTAATGCATACATATATATATTTTTTTTTGGCATTGTTGAGAAACTGGATTTCTTGACCCTTTTCTATATTTTCTTTTCATACAAACATGCCTTGATAGAGCCCTTCCTTAATGTAAATTCAATTGCGAATATCTGTCCAATCCCAAAGTTTAGTTAAAGTCTATTCTCCACTTCTATAATCATATTTATTGTTACAAAATCTATAAAAATGATTTCAAGAACTGAACTGACTTTGCATATGTAGTTGGTGCTATATTATATTTTGCTTGACTGACATTTATTTGCTGATTGACTGACTGAGTTTGTCTGTTTGCAATACGCTTGAGTTGTGTAAAATTTTCTGGCAATGGGTTGTGTGCAATTCTGCTTTTATATACATATAAGTACATATTTATATACATATTATAGTCTTAAAATATAAAAGTTAACATTATTTAACATTCGAGCTCGAATTATAATTTCATTACTTCATTCATATAAACTACTCGAATTTATGTTTGCAGTTTCATGCCATGGGCATGAAAATTTATTAAAATGGGCTCTCCTAAAAGTATGCACTGCAAAATGTCTAACTTTATTTTGCTTACTTGCTGGCATTTCTGTTCGCCTGGTGTTTAACCGAGCTGGACAACCAAATCTTAAGCAATAACGGCTTGAATTTTAGCAAATTTGTACGTATGTAGTCCATGTATATATATATGGATGTACATGCATATATCCTTACATATATATTTATGCATACATACAATAACGGTGCTTTTTATACACTTGCTTCTGATTGGCTGGAATAAAACCTGCTGCCGAAAAGTATGCAATGTATTTTTGGCATCTGTCGATTCTTTGTCTTCATACTGGCTTTTCTGTTCGCCTGGTATTCAGCCGAGCTTGACATGAAAAATCTTTGTCTCGAAATTGATTTAGTAGTTAGTATTTTTTTGGTATATATAGAAATAAAACGCCATTTTTTAGTGTTTTTAATTATTACATTTTTTATTTAAAAATTAATTTGATACATTTCGCTTATAATTTTTACCTATAGTTAGTATTAATAATAGTAATAGCTTTTTGTGAGCTCGTTAAATTAATAAGTACTTATATTTTAGCATACACATATATATTAACTAGTATTTATAAATATAGCATTAATATAACCACTAAGTAAAATGATAATAAACTCAAATGAAAACACGAATTTAAATGTTTTAAATAATTTGCTTCACAATCAAATTTTGATTGTTCAATGAGATTAAAACTTAAATGTTCAATATGCTAACCAAAATATTCTGCTCGATGTCTAGGATAATCCAAAAATAATGGTGTATGAAAATAGAGGAAACAATTCGTTAAAAAATACTAACAAATGAATTTAGCTCAATGCAAAGAAAATATTTATGTGACAAAAAATCAATTTAACCTGACTGATTTAGACAAAATTACAATTCTTGACAAAATTTGCTTAACATATAATGATCAATAAATAATACTAACAATATTAATATNTCACACATACACTCACGCACACTCACACATATTTTATGTTTATTTGGGCTTAGGCACAACAGTCTTTCAATTTGGCCAAGACATTGTTATTGTTGTTGTTGTTGTTGCTTGCAGCCCAGCTAAGTATAGAGTGTGTGTGTTTAGCAATCCCCTTCATAAATACAAATTAATTGGCCTTGGCCATTGTTGGCAATTATTACCGTTGCCGTTGCCGTTGCCATTGCCGTTGCCTTCAGTCTTGAGCTCGGGCAGAATTCATTGAAAATTTGTTTACACTTCATGCAGTCGGAGTCGCATCGAGTTTCTGACATTTTCTGGCATTTCTCTTTATTTAATTCACATATAAATATATATCTTTATAAATGTTTACAAAAAATGAATCTTATTTATGCACAAACTAAATCAATGTTTTAAGCCTCTTGATGTTTGATGTTAAATAAAAATAAAAAAAACAAAACCGAAGCAAAAACAAATTGTTTATACTAAGCTAACAGATTCTTGAGCAAGTGCTTAAAAGCCTCCGACTTCCATTTGATGCTGATGTTGATCCCTGTGGATCCTTGCTGCAATACTCCGGTCATATTCGCTGACTCCTGCATAGATTTGCTGCTGGCTGCCTTCAATGGAGCATTTGACTCTCAGACATAAATCCATTGCTAAGCTTGATAAGAATAAAAGTTAGAATTGAATGTTATCTTAATGCATCTCTCGATTAAATGTGTATAATACAATTTTACAAATTTATTTAATTAGGCATGTTTTATATAATCGTACAATTTCAATATGTTCTCTTTACAATTTAATATCATTTACTTAGATTGACTACGCTTGTTGTGTTAATAGGTTAAGAAGTTTTGATTATGCGGTTTGAGTTCGACTAAAATTATGTTGGATTAACGTGTTTCTGATTGCAAGTGCAAGTCAACAAATACAAAGTTCTCCGTTTTGATATGGCGACAAGGGTATTGAAAACCGGTACAAATCGTTAAAAGATAAAGGCTTTTCGATTTCACACACAGATATTGGTCCAACGTTTCTTATACATAGACTCGCCTCATCCGAATAAAAACACATCTAGCGTCGAATGTTGATTTGATTTAGATCGATTGGTTCGCTAGGTCTTCAATTAATATATATATAGTATAGTATAGTATAGTAACTGAATAACAAAAAATTGCTAAATAATCTGAATGCAACACAAATTCTAAATCATCTAACGATGAGAAGTGTGATTCGGCGTAACAATAAAAAGTTTCGTTTCTCCATTAATTAGTGAGCAAAATCAATAGATATGTATATATACATATATATAGATATATAGGTAGTTATATGTATGTTAACACAGTTGAAGTAGGAGTAAATAATATACTATATAGCAAATATTGTTAATACAATGTTCAACATTTAGGCACAAATTATATTGCTTTTCAATTAGTTAGGGAAAATTATTGCATATTTTTTAAAAGAGTTAATCACTCCGTCTTTTACATCCAACTGGGGAGTCTCATCATCTTCATCATCATCATCATCAAAATAATACATATGTCTGTGTTTTATAATTAGGAATCATAATTTGTCGAAAAGCTCAAATTCAAGTTGAGGTCAAACGTCTCGGGGAATTGGTGTTCGCATTACTGTTGGCCAACATCGCCTCCTTGGCACGCTCGTGTTCGTCTTGAAAGAAGATTTTGGTAATGACAACGTCGCCGGTACTCAGTGTCTGCGACTCGGCATCCACCAGCTTAACGACTCGTTTATCGTTTCCTGATCTTAAAATAGGCGTGATGCTTCGTTCTCCATGGCAATTGCAGTTCTTCAGGCTAAATATTAAAAAAAGTTATATTATTTTGAAAGTCAAGGGTAACTCGAGTAGTGTTTCTTACTTTCTCGACTTCTCTCGAATGATTTGCAGATTCTCAGTTGTGGCAATACTGGAGCCCAACTGTTCTTGCATCGTATTGGAAGTGATAATCTAAGGGGAAGAGATTATGCTTTCAGTAAGAGGCCGATTATAAATTGAGCTCTGAGTTGGACTTACTTGATCGCATGGCAATGTGGTTGCAGTCGTCAATATGGCCTCGAGTTTATCAATACGTGCTATTCGATCCATAGACTTGTTTTGCAATATTTCCTCTAGCATCTGCATCGATTCAGTCAAACTAGGCGGCTCCGAGCTGAAGCGCGGCGAGAAGGTGCCCGACAGCGAATTATCCGATGGAACCGAGTCCAGACTTGGGAAGAAGTCATTCTCATTTGCCTCCGCCTCGTCCTCCGAATCACTTTGATCTCTGCAAAGAGCCAAATTAGAACTATCTCCAATGAAACATATTAATTTCTACCAACTTGTTTGGATTGCCCGCAGATTCCATTTTCTCCAACTTCTTGGCCACCTTGTAGTAGCCCTTGAGTCGCTCCTTTTCTTCCTCCGTCAAGTCCATGTAGCTGCAATCGATTAATGTAAACTCAGACTGATTTCAATGGATTATAGTGAGGCTCAGTGTACTCACCGTAACAGTCGTATCTCTCGGTTGGATAATACTATACTTTTGCTGGTCTGGGCCAGCTTCTGCTTGAGATCTGAGACTTCGGTGCTGACCTTGCGCTGCTTCTTGCGTATCTTGACTTCGTTCGGCTTGATCTGCATGAGAATCTGCTCGGTGCACAGCTCAGAGAACAGCTGCCTGTTCTCCGGCTTGATTTGCTGGGCTAGAGTGCCGAAGAGCTGCTCTTGTATCAGCACGAGGACATCTCCGGCCGCATAGAGCATCATTTCGCGGGTCAGTGGTCGCTTGGCCCAGAACTTCTGGTCGCGCCGGTAGATCTGCTTGAGCTGGTCCTTGATGGGATTGCAGGGCGCATTGTATTGCTCGCACAGCGAGTTCAACGATATATATTTGGCCTTGTACACCTGCTTGCCATTCTCCTGGTACTGCAGAATGGCGTGCGCCGCCTGCGTGTCGAAGACGTTGCGCAACAGAATGCCAAACTGCAGGTAGAGGTTGACGGCATCGTTGCGACAGTCGTGGATCACCTTGATCACCTGGTCATGCTCCAGCAACGTCTTCAGGCCACCGTCGCTCACCATGGCTGGGCAGGACTGCACGTCGAAGAGGAAGGCCTCGCCACGCGCCGTGCCGATTTCGATCAGAGTGATCTCTCCCTTGATGCCCAGGTTGATGCCTTCACAGTCCAGGGAGATGGCTATGTTGTGCTCCTCATCTTTGGCCAGGTCCAGCAGCGCGTCGGTCACAAACGTTGAATGCTTCACGTTGGCTATTACTGTGGTGTTTTGCAGCACCTTGATCTTCCAGGTGTCGCCCACGAAATAGCTCTGACTAGATGAGGCATTCGCCGCCGTTGTGGCTGCTCCTGTTGCAGTTGCAGCTGCTGCTGTTGCTGCTCCCCCTGCTGCTGCTGTTGCTTTGGTGTTGCTGCCGTGAACCGGGCTCGAGTGCGCATTCTGATTGGCCAGCGTTTGCTTGTCCTTCTCCAGGTTCTCGGCCAGGGTACGGATGACCAGAGTATTGATGCGCTGCTTCAGGGTTTGGTTCACGCTATTCAAGCGCTCCGTTGGCGCCGATTGCTGCTGCTGTTGCTGCTGTTGCTGCTGCTGCTGCGTGGCGGCTCCTATGGGGCCGTAGCAGACAGTGGAGCTGGGATAGTTGTTCTCGCACAGATTCTCCAGCTTCAACTCCGACATGGGCACGTAGCTGTCGAAGCCCGAGTTGGGCTCCGATTTGTTCTGACTCTGACCAAAGCCGTTGCCGCCTGTCATGTTGGAGACGGGCGCATTCAGCTTAAAGTTGGGCGACGCTATGTTATTATTGTTGTTATTATTATTATTGTTGTTATTGTTGTTGTTGTTGCTGTTGCTGTTCGCACTGCTATAGCCGTTGCTGCGCATCGCCGGCGAGTGCAAGCGCTGCTGCACAGGACTCAGCGCCAGCTCGCCCTTGCGCGGATTCTGGTTGTTGTTGACCGAGTTGAACTGCTCCCGTGACCGAGCCTGCGCCTGCTGTATATAGGAATCGCTCAGCTTGGGCTTCTGCAGCAGCGTGACTAGATTCGCCTGGATGTGAAAGCAGTCGCCGAAGAGTTTCAGGAACGAGCTCAGGTCGCCGGGTGTCTTGAACATGCGCAGCCACTGATCCTGCGGAAAGTTCAGCGTGAGCAAGTGGAACAGCTGATCCACTAGCAGCGGGCCCTTCATCTCAATGCACTGCGCGAAAAAGTCGAGCATCTGCTGTGTGCCACGCGTGTCGATGTTCGACTGCGGCAAATGCAGTCGATCCCTGGCTGGCAGATCCGTCATGTTCTCGCTGCCCACCAGCATCACGTAGTCGTCCACGACCTTGAACGTGTCCGTGTGCTTCGACAGGAAGTCTGTGAACTCCTTGATATGCTGACCTGTAAAGGGCATGAAAAGAGTCTGGGTAAGTCTCACTATATATTAACTGTGTACGAGCTGGATTATATCTATATAGACTATAGATTAACCCTAAATATAAATCTCTATCTGAGCTGAAGCTCAGTTCACTCACCGGATATGTGACGCACTTGCGGCGAGGCCTGCGACCGATGGCCCAGCAGACTGCGCACTGGCACCTCGGCGGCGGCGCCATACTGCAGCATCTTGTTCTTGAAGTAGTCTTTAGCCTCTTGGATGTAGTCGCGCTTGCCGCCGGCGTTGCCATCGTCGGAGCTGCTGTGCTGATAGGCATTCACCTGCACGTAGTCGCCGTCCACTAGAAATATCGATGGGTATTGGGCAAGAAATTTCTTCAGACCTGTCAAGAGAGGGATGTAGAGAGAGAGAGAGAGAGCGAGAGACAAAGTTGTCAATTATAATTAGTATAAGCCATTAGTGAGAGTCTCTGCTCATCTATTTCTTAATGCGCTAATGCAGTAAAAGTGTTAACTTAATTAATTTGGCAGCGTCTTGCCATTCAATATGACGCCATATCTGTGTGTGTGTGTAAGTGTGAATGAGCGTGTATAGATGTGCTCTGCATAGCAGTTGGCTTATAGCTTGGCTTTAAGATGTGAATTGAATAACTTTTCTGCTATCTCTGGCAGCTACATATGTCTTTCTTCCCATAATTAGCTTTATTGTAATCACTATATCAAATACATATATTTATGTATGCACATGTGTATGTTTGTGTGTGTGACTCTTTCTCTTTCTAGTTTGTAAAGTTGGCTAAAGTTTTGCCTTTATCGCATTTACAATTGTGTGAATGAAAACTCTAGCATTTTGCACAAAGTTGTTCGTTGTTCCCAGCAAACTATGAAAATGCATTTGAAACGGATACGACTAGAAGTTACCCTATAGCAGCAGTATACATGCATATACCTAAATAATTATAAAATGTTTAGGTATATGCATAAATGCAAACGGAAGAATATGCCAACTCTAATACATAGTACAGTATTTCTCTAATACTCATACTCTTATACTTCTTTTATTCTTACAGTGCACCTTCAGTGCAGGCAGAAAAACATTACACGTGAAAGATATATAAACTCTTATAGTCATACTCTAATACTCCACTCTCTAATCAGAAGCCTCTAATATTCCTATTAGCTCACTCATATATTCTCTTCTCTTCTATTGCATGGCAATACAATAGTGGGTAATTCTTGACAATTTTCATATTCTGAAATTGTTTACAGTGTACAACTCCAGCCAAATGAAAAGTGAATGCACTCAGCCAAGCTGCGCGAGCTATTTTATTTGATAAATCAGGTCAGAGTTGCCTGACTGACTCGAGGCAAGCGACAGACATCCGCCCGTCCGTCCGTTAGTGGGTGGGCATACTGTACGAGGCAGGACGGGGCGGGGCGGGTGCCGCAGCCTATTGTGTGTGTAATATGACGTGACATGACAAACGCGCAGCTTTTGGATGGAGCACGGGCGAGGCCAAGAGGGGAAATTGTTTGTTTTCATTGTTGCGTGTCGAGGGGGAAGCAGCAGCAGCAGCAGCAGCAGCAACAGTCTCTGCCTCTGCCTCGATTGTTGTCATTCGGAATTTGTAACAAGTTGTGCACAAGAAATTAATCAAATTTCAATTCGAATAATCAAAAGTGCAAAGAAATTGTTCAGCATTATATAAGGATTACCCAAGATTTTCTGAGAGTTACGTTTATCCCAGGGATTTCGACTGACAAATCTACAAAATCTATTCCCGAGTGCTCGATGGGCCACAAAACTGAAAAGTGGCCCCCGACCCGAGACTGAAAAGAAATATCGTGGCAGATTATGTGTGTCCACTAAATGGGGGCCGTCAACTGCCGCATAACTCAATTTTTTATGTCCGTTTCCACCTTCTGCATTACACAAATTGGAATTGAAATTTACAGTTCAAGTTGAAGTTCCGGACCGAAATGGGTGTACGAAGCAAAGCCAAATACATGAATATTTATCGCCCGCAATACAGATATTTCTATTGCTTTGAAGAGGACCTTGTAGACACTGTCATAAAAGTAGCAGCGAGGGCAGCTTGAAACCTTAAAGCAAGGGATTTCTGTCTATCTTTATCCCCTAGATTCTGATTCATAATATATCATCTAATATTTACAATGTTTCATCATAAATATCCTAATCTGTTAAAAACTTTACGAACATCTCTCGTGTATATATTCCTTAGACTCTGCCAAGCTAAATATTATGATGCAGAGGCAACAATATTTGTTTGTTTCCGCCAGCGACATTTCTTGGCTAAAATATATATGTATATGTGGCGAGGAGGCAGCAGGCAGGCACGCCCCTGAGGAACAGGTGGAGTGGGCGGCAGCAGGTGTCGGCGCTGGCACATTTAATGCGCACTCGCCCGCCTCACATTATTGGACACAAGAGTTTTTGTGGCCAATTTTCAAATGCAGCGAGCACATTTTCTATAAATATATATAAACACACACACACACAAATATATATATGTACGTGTGTGTGTGAACACACTTTATGTTTGCTTATTGAAATGTAACCTTTACACCTTTAGCAAATTCAGCAGGTGTAGCCAAAAAGGGTTATGAGCACATAAATTCAAGATTTTATGTCTTCAAGTTGGGAAAGTGAAATTTTGCTGCTGGCCAAATGGATTTGATGTTGACTTGAAAGCCCATTTGGCTGATTGCGAACTGCTGCAAGTGCGACTTCATTATGAACCAATTAATTGAAACATTTGTTCCAATTCCCCCATATTAATAAATAGCAAATCGTGCTGCTAAATTTGTTGCTCGAGCCAAATAATCAATGTCGGCGACGCTGAAGCTCGCCCTTAGCCAACTCAACTTTGATTTCACATTTCCATTTCCATTTCCATCCCTTCCCGTCCCTTCTCACAAGCTAACAATAATAACAGGAAAAACCTTGCCAGCTGGCAGACGCACAACTGCCGACACGCAATGCCAAAGAAGCAGAAGAGCAGAGCAGCAGGAGGCGAGCAGCTTGCTCGAGGATTCCAAATGGGCCAACCGACTGCTGTCGGCATAAAATCGTTAAATTTATGTTCAGTGTCGTCTGCAAAGGGAAGCCAAAGTCAAAAAGCCGAAAATGTTAAAGGGCTAAAGCGAAACATGGATGTGGTCCATCGATCATTGAACAGCCAGCCAAAATCAACAAGCACAAGCAATTTCCCAGAGTACGGAAGAGTAGCAGAAGCTTTTCATACCCTGCACACATATGACAGATGGCTGAATTGGGTATATTGGTTGTAGGAGCCAGAAGGAGGATTTCCGTATTAATGTTCCATATTATGGGCAAGATATAGATGTTCAATAGAGAGGGCTACGAGCCTTTAGCCTCACCTTCTATATTTTTTCAAGCCTCCCTCGCCTTCCCAATCTGTGTGTTTAGTTAACTCAATTGACGAATGCGTTGGCAATCGATTACGCAAAAAATAACAAAAACATGTCTTGGAGACCTCCATCGATAGCCCCGCTAATATATAAATGGAATATGTTTGTGTGCAACTATTTGACAAAACATCGCCAACAGCCAGAGACAGAGACAGCTCCACAGCCACATCGACTAACAGCCAATAGTTAATGGCCTGGTCAAGTTTGGTCAAATGATTTGCGCGAATTGCATGCAAAACTTGTTTTTGTTGCCCGCTCACAACGTCAGCGTGTGGGGTATATTAGTATTTTACTATTATTTAGTCCATCTAGAGACATTTTAGAGCTAAAACCTTTACAGATGGACCCATTAATTATGTTCCACCCAGCAATTTTGGATTCAATTTGCCAGTGAACGAGTATTGCGCAGTCACCTACTACCCATTGGAACGTTCTTTCTTGTTTGGGAGTCTGCGTTTCGCTTGCCAAATTAGCAGTGGAATTTCGGTAACTGTTTACTATGCCATTATCACATATTAGTTAATAGCTTTTAAGCTGAGAAATTATTGTAGAAATTAAGCGTTTCGTGCTTTCTAGCAGCTCTCAATGTTTCAATGTTTCAATGTCGGCACAAAAATTGCTTGTGACATTAATTTTGTAAATGTTTTCTTGTTTGGCTCTTTTAAACCCTCATCAACCACTAGGGAATATAGACACACACACACACACAGAGAGAGAGATGAAAAGAGAGAGTGAGCGAGAGAGAGAGAGAGAGAGAGAGAGTGAGAGAGAAAGGAAAAGAGAGCTTTGCAAAACTAAACTTATGCATTATTGAAGCAACAAATGGGCACATCTCTCTATCTCTCTCTCGCGCGCTCTTGTTCGCTTACCCTCACGCTCTCTCTGTCTCGCTAGAATAGTGTATGCTATAATATTTGAAATTCAATTGAACATTTCTGTCACGTAATCGACACTTTTTCTATTGCAAACCAAACAAGAAAAGCAAATTTACCCACATCATCATCAAATGGAATCCGCCTCGACATCAACTTCGGGTTTAAGCCAAGCATTATGAAAATATCAAAGGTATAGAGAGTTGGCCCTTAACGGCTTACAAGTGGAATAAGCAGGCAAGAGAGTAAAAAAACGTTGACAAGAAAAGGTGCCACACATAAAATATGTTTATAGGAGTGCTTCTATCTAGTTTGTCGGGCTTACTTTTTGGGCATACAAAATGTGCTTTAAGCTTTTTGTTTGTTTGGTAATGGATCCAAAGTAAGCTACAGAACGGTTACTAAAGACATAATGGGAATGTAGCCTAAGGTTGAGTAGATACGCCTCCGTTTCGTTGTATTGTTACCATAGAACATGAATATATTCGAAAACAATTTTAACTCATAGAGTTTTCAATTACAGCAGGCGTAAGACCTACTCAAATACACGTACAAGTACATGTATGTGTGAGTATGAGCTCATTTTAAATAAATTATATTAAAAGCTCATCAACAAATATCCTATGCAAAAAGCATCATGCGAAAATGAAAATGAGAGATCCTTCACCTATTGTGCAATTGTGCAATTGTGTCGAATCGCAGAAGAACAGAAATGTGAGGTAAACACATATTCCAACACACACATAAATAAAATGTGAAAACGGGAGAAATGAGCGTAAGCAACAAAATTGTATGGTGTAGAGAGACGAGGAAGCCAATATAGGCTAGATGAGTGACGAGTGACGCCGTCTCGCTCGATCGCACTAGCCGATTGTTTGATTGGAGCGCAAGAGAGTAAAGGATACGAGCAGAGAGTGTAATGGAGTGGAATCGGCTCTGCTGCACGATTGCCATCAATTGTCTATGCGCGGGACAAGTGAAGAGTGAAGGCGACCCCATCTCGCTCGGTCGCACTAGACAGTTGCTCTCTTGAGAGAACAAAGGGTGGGGGCAATACTGCGTAAGTAGTCTATGCGTGGGACAAGTGCAGAAAGAGTGAGAGAGCAGAAGACTCAAGCGTAGAGTGGGATAGATTCAGCTGCAGTGTTGTACTTTATGTGCATGTGTTTGCATGGTTAGTAGATATTATCTTAGCAACTCTGTGTCGGCCTTTGTCTTATGCGTTTTGCACTTGCAAACAGTTTAAAGCTGTATTCAAAGCGAAACACTATTAGTTTAAAAGACATATGTATTTTAAAATGCGATAATGATGAATGCATTTGTTGCACTTAGCTTATGAGTGCAATTAATGCAGCCACAAGGTGTGAACAAATAAAATGTGTTGCGAGTGAAAATAATTAGCAAGGCATGCCAAAGTAAACAGCTCAACAACTCAACTATGAAAATACCACAATAAACCACAATAACTAACAAATTGTTTTTGTACAAATTGTGAAACAACTTGACTAACCTGACTAAACGATGGCACTCCCTCAGCCTTAAGTGATTAATATCCCCACTTCCTGCACAAATCACCTAGGCGACAGCTTCTAATAATACGCTAATGAATTTTCGGGAAGACTTTTTTAATAGGCGTCCCGAGGAATCGAAGAAAGTGCATTGCACTGCCCTCCAGTAGATGTCTATTTATAAGACTTTTTACTTTTTGAAGAGTTGTTCTATTTTTAAAACACACAAGCATCGCGATGATAATGTGTGTGTGAATGTGTTGAGTTGTTTCCTTCATTATACTCGCTCATTGATTGTGATGGAGTATATCAAACACTGATCGAGATTTGGTATACTTGGCTTAACAAATCTGGACAACTATATATTTAACAGTTTGAAAGCTTCATAGCTCTTAATTTCCGGTGCAGATGGACTCATCAGCTTTGTACTCTCAATTTTGTGGATCAGAGCTTCTAATTAAATTAATGAAATTTTGTACTAAGACGGGTATTGTGCAGTCAGTAGCATTGCACTGCAACTGTTTGAATAGTACTTTGCTGTCAAAGAGCGGACGTCGATGTCGAGTGTTTTCGTAAACAAAAAGTAGCGCGTCTTAAGTTCCAAAACGGAACAGCAACAACAATAACAACAACAACAACAACGTGAATAAGAAAAGCACGTGTAATATCGATTGAGTTAAAACAAAAAGAAAAACCCTGAAAAAACTAAAGCTAGCTCGAGGTTTAATACCCAATACAATGTAAATAAAGGGTATAGTTGACTTGATAGTGTAAAATAAGTAAAGTTAAATAAAATGAACATAATATTATAAATACTTTGAGAGTATTATAAAGCTTGGCAAAACCGGCATCTTGTTTGCCCCCTTGCAATCATTTACTAAATAGGTTCATACGGGATATGCATATGCTACATATAGACATATCATACCATATAGGGAAATCTACAAAAACAGGATAAATAATAAACCGTTGTTAAAGCTATTAAAAATAAGTTAATACATGATATCTTTTAACTGAGCAAACTCCATTGGAAACGATTTTCGCTTGCGGTTTTTAACAGCGGCTTCAATTGCTGGGCTAAAACTGGCGGCGACTGGATTGCTGCCTGACATTGATGAAATGTGCACTTGGACAAGTGAAGCACTTAAGAGATAACAACACAAACAACACAAAAAACAACAACAGCCTCGACAATAGCAGCAACAATAACAAGAAACAGACGTTGAACCCGCATAGACACAGACACAGGTGCACAAATATGTTTAGTATTCGATGCCAACTGGTTTCTGGTTTCAGCTGTTTGCCCAGGAAAATTTACTCAAATATCTGCCTCAATGGACGTTACAGGTCTATCAGCAGAGAAGGTCAACAGCGAAAATGAATAGCTGATTCTAATATATGTAGGAATTCTCAACGGATGTTAACCCGAGGATTTCGGCACTTGATAAGAGAACTAACTTATATACTTTCTATTCACTGCTTGGGCGGGTATGATTTGCATTGAAACTTACCCGATTGACTGCCGCCGGCGATTTGTCGCATTTCCTTGGTGAATTCCTTGTTGCCAAACTGGCAGGATAAATCGTGAACGGTGCGCGGCTCGCCTTTGTCCAGCAGACGCTCCAGGAAGAACAGCAGCGTCATGTTGCGAGCCATTTCGTATTCCATGGACTCCATTATTGTGTGTGTTGTTGTTGTTGYTTAATCTTCCTTTAACTGAAATAGACAACGATAGAATGATTTAAATACTACAGCCATGAAGGAAGGGAGCGTAGCAGAGCCAGAGCAACGGCTTAGTTGCTTTTGTTTATTTAATACACTTTTCCACTTTTCTACTTTTCCACTTTATGTTATTGCATTCTTGCTGCCTTATTCTCTTACATTTTTATTTGTATCTCTGGCTCATCTGCGGCTGCTGGCTTGAGTTGCAGTCGTAAACTCAACTTGCACGTCGGCCTTTTGGCTTAAATAATTGAAAAGCCGCTACGTAAATTTAGCTTGTCTAGCTGCAACGTATGTTTGTGCCTGTGTATATGTGTGTATGCTTTGAGAAATTATCCTTGCGCATATCCTTGCGACGCGCACGAATGTCGAAAAACGACTGAGAACCGCAGCTCTGTTGCATGTAAATGTTAATGTTAACTAACAGCGGCTTCCGCATGCTACTTAACATTTATTGTCATTAGCTTAAATCTATTAAATATATATTGCAAAAGGTACGTTTTTAAATTTACGATATTTGTTCGAGTTTTGTTCATACACAAACGCGTAATCAGTTTTGCTTGGCTTTTAGCTTAACATTCAACGCCTGTTAAAAGATAAACAAATCTGAATCGAACAGCTGTTATTGTGGCAGGAAGCACGGCGAATTCAGATTGAGTTGTTTTCATTTGATGACTTGCCGCTGTTTATTGGCTGAGTAAGGAGGAGGGAACAGGGCGAATTTGTTGTTGTTCTGATGGAGTCGGTTTTGTTGAATGCTTTGGCGGTTGGCGTGAGAAAAACAGGTGATTGACACAGAAAAGGTGGACAGCTACGGAAATAACAAAGCGGCTCAGTCTGCAGTTTGCTTATTGAAATTAGCTCAATGCGTATGTATGTTTTTGTGTGTAAGTGCGTGTATGTGTCTCAGTGTGCTGTGTAGTGATAACCAAACCCGTTGACAACGGCCATCTAATACAAAATGTATTGAGAACAGGAACGGCAACACAAAAACAAAAAATTCATTCTCAAACGAACATTCCAAAGCGGCGGCATTCATTTATTAGCGACAACATACGTATGAGTCTGTATGTGTGTTCTTATGTGTCTGTGGTGAGCAGCGGCTTTTAGCAACTGTATTGGTAGTCAAACAAGAAACTTCAGGCAGACCGATACAAATTTCTTATTAGACCCACTGTTAGCACTCTTGCCATTTCTTCAGTTGGAAAGAGACACATACATTTAGAAACAAGTGCAAAACGATGATGACTGTTAAAAGTGTAGAAAGGTAAAAACAATAAAAAAAGAGAGCAGTGAGGGCAGTGAGAAATGATAAAAAGAAAATACCATACGAAATATGTATGAGCACTCATACATATATCTTTTGCAATACGCGGCAGAGAAAACGCGCAAAAACTTTTACATAGTATGCAAAGCAAAAAGCAATAACAATGTCAATGAGAGATGCACACACTTATGCATGTGTTGTGTTCGTGTGTGTGAGTATGCTGTTCATATATTCATGCATGTATGTCTGTATGTCCGTTTGTAAAAGCAAAAGTGAAAAATGTGAGCTATGTGTATAATTACCTGGCTTATTGTCGTATTTGCTTAAGTGAACTTTGTAGTCTATATTTAAAATACACTTGTTTCAATTAGCAACTTGCTGTTTCTGCTGTTGACTTTGGTGTTGTTGTAAAGGAGATCGCGCACACACACATACAGAGCGAGACTGACTCTCTTTTTCTTTCTATCTCACACTCCTTCCTCTTTCTTTATCACATACGAAAACGCGATACTGATCCTCGCGTTGGGGATTTAGGCAGTTGTTTTTGTTTTTATCAGCACTTTTTGTCACTCACTGAGAGACTGAGCTCCTTAATAGAATTATGTGCATACGCTTAGCATTTTTCGGCGTAGTTATCTTATTGGATTCCAAGCATACAGCTCACTCACAACTTGTTGTTGCCTACGTACGCGTTTGTGTGTTCGTGCTCAAACTGGCAGGTAAAGAACAGTCTCTGTGTGTGTGCGCGCGTCGCTGTGTATGTTGGTAAGGCACTTTGATTGAGTAGTAAAAAGCAAGTTGAAAACCACTTGTTGCACTAATTTTTATCACCCACAACAGCTGTGCGCAGCTGGCACAAGAACGCTAACAATTCCACAGTGTATTTTAAGCAAAAAAAACACACGTTTTCGTATGTTCAAACGGCACAATTTGGTGTACGGAGGTTTTTGGAGCGATGATGACAACGCGAACGCGACTTCAGGTGTGCCTTCGATTACGATACCGATTGTCAAACCGATTGGCCGCTGTGTGAATGGCAATAACAGCTGTGATAGATCTGTTAAGATAGATGTGGCCAGCGGCTGTATGTTAACAGCGCCAAATTGAGTTAACAGTCAGCCAAAAATTTATTAACAGATTGGCGCGCAGTTTAAATGCAATAGTGGCGTGTACAGTGTGACCATCCAGTGTATTCTAGGAGTGCCAAGCTGAGTTAACAGCTACTAGAGCAGCGCGCAATTCGAATTTCATACTGACAAGATGATTAGTACGTCCTAATGCACATCGATAGCGGCAATTATGAATCATTCAAATTGATGGGCCAATCGTTGTTAGTATTCATGCAGAATTTTAGTAATCGTCAATTGCAACAATGTGAAACATTGATAGCACACCTTCAGCATGACATTTCCACACATGTTTGCTTATGACTGATATATAAATCCCACGTTACTACATCGAGGAAAGGCAAATCACGCACTCTAGCCATAAATTGCAAATGCAAATGCGACACGCGTTGCCAATATTCGACGCAGATTGACAAGCTACAATATGCTGATCGGTCACCTGGCTAATTGATCATATGCAAAATGCCCGATGCCCGATATTGAAGAAACGTTGTAGCCCGCAGGCCAGTGACAATTTTTCTGACACCACTCTACAGGCTATGGGCTCCCTGTCTCTCTCTCTCTCTCCCTCTGTCTGTCTCTTGGCGGGGTGTTAGGTGTACATGGCGCCGTCTTTGCTACTCCAGCTGATGTCGGACATAATTGAACGCATCCGTTGCTCAACTTGTTGCCGCTAATTAAAGTTGATCGACGGGCGGGTTGGCAGGGGGACGTATAGGGGAAGGGGGTCAAAGCACACACTTAATGTAAACATTTATAACTGCTGCGTTTATTCAATTAAAAACGCACTGATTTGGCTCGTCGGCTGCGCTCCTCAACAAATTGCAGCCTTGTTGTAAATAGCGTGAAGGAATTTTCATGCACTTAACAAAATGTGCAATTATATACACTTATATATAAACTCATGTTGTTGGCCATAAGCTAATGCATCTGTTGTTCCGCATGATACGCAATTTATGAACTTTTCAGCTGGGATTAGCTTCAGCGACTGGACAAACTCATCTCTGGCACCTTGCCCCCCACTGAAACCAAGACAAGCTTGCAGCATGAGGAATCTGTAAGCACAATCAAAGTAAATGTTCCCTCCTTCATCATTACCAGCGGGACGTTTTTCATCAATTCGATTGACGCCAGAGATCGTCTCGGAGGAGAGAAACAGAAAGAGATAGATATTTGTTATGAAAATATATTTAAAATATAATATTTTCGGTATTCACTTTTCTGTATGCAGAGTCCGTGAAACAATATAGACATACATATGTAAATATAGGCAAAATAAACTTAGTCACATTTTAAGCAAAGCTAAGATAAATACGCATTGAGGGAAAGATACTCGAAAGTCTATTCAGAGAGTATTCACATGCTCTGAGCTAAGACCTTGAGTTGGGAGCAGGAAGGAGGGAGAGTAGGGTGAGTCGGAAGAGCAAGCCAAGGAGGGAAGGTCCTCCACCTCTAGGCCAGCCTGCTGCAAGGCAGGGCGAGAAGTGTCAAAGGAGGCGCTGGCAGCCTGCTGCGAGGTGTGTTTTATGCGCTGTGCGTCACGAGTTGTCGACGGAGGGCGAAGGGGTGGCCGGTAAGGTTTGTCTCTTATTTATGTGACACATTCCGAGTTGACAACAATTGTTAACTGAACGTGACGGTGACGAAGACGAAGACGAAGACGGCGAAGAGGAAGCGTGCAAAAAGATGCATTCAATTGGAAAGTAACTCGGAATGGCGCAGGGTCTAGGCAGACCGGTTCGAAGGGAACTAAATGCAAATCGAGGCGTTGCTCGACAGTGCTCAAATGCGTTAACTATCAAGTCTGTGTCTATCTTAGTCTTTAAGCCAAATCTCTGTCTGCAGATTTATGTGGCCGACTCGCCTCTGCCGGCAGGAAACTTCATTGGGAAACCACTTTTGCCGGTCTGCCTTTGGAGGCAGGGGCAAGTGTTATCTCAAAGGCTCTGCACCAAGATTTATAGATCGCTTGCTTAGCCATTGGGCCCAAATGGGGCATAAATTATGCGCGTATCTAAAAATTGACTAGAGCTCATTAATAAGCGTTTAGTGCCAACGTAAATTGCACTGCTGCCCACTAATTGCTCAACGATAATAAATAAGAACAACACACGTAGGTGCAGGACAACCCGGCCAGGAGTCTGAGCCGAGGTGCCTGAGGTGCCTGAGGTGCCCGAAGTGACCGCGCCGCCCGACCACCTATTGCGTCTGCTTGCCCACAAGTCGACAGGAGTACGTGCAAGACAAAGGCCAAAGCACAGAGACTCCCATTGAGCAAGTTGAGAGTGCGACAAGCAGAGAGTGGACGACTAGGATATACCCTGAATGCTGTTCCTTGGCATGACTTGAACAATCGTGGGGGGGCTATTTAAATCTGAATGTCTTTCTACTGAAGAAGAAGCGAATTGACAAGGACATTTAACTGCAGGCAGCTATCGATGCTGATCAAGGAATCCATTTCACTTGATGCATACCATATGCCTTCGCCTCATTGCAATACTTGTAGGGTATGAAATAGGAAAACTGAAAACCCACGCAAGCTGTCCCACGTTTTGCCTTAACGATCTTATGACTGTGCAGATTTTCTATTCGTTACGTTTTTGCACGTGGTAAAAATTTAACGCTTTTCGCAATGGACACGGCTCTGGCATGAATTGTGGCCTAGCCTTGCGGCGACTCGCAAATGCCAAACTCGGCTAGAGCCAGTAGAACAGAGCGCAGTATGCATGAATACGAAATACCCTTACCATTAATTTGCCTGTCTGTGAAAGGGGGAAATGTAGAACATAATACTAGAAATCTATGGAACGAGATCTACAATTTCATCAGCGCATACGTGGCTATAATTTACCAGCAATATGGAAGTAGGACTACATTAATCAGGTAATTAAAATGTAAGGAATAAAAGGAATGATCAAGCTGATCATGCTGATCCACCCCGCTGCGTGTGTGATGCTAGGAAGGGCATATATCCGATGCGTTACGACTGCTACAGTATGTGAGGCAGATCCTACCCCAAATGCAATTTTGCACACTTTTCGCTATAAATAAGACTTGTTGTTGTTGCTATTATTGTTGCTGTTACCTTCATGTAATTTTCATGGTAAAATTAATGTTACGCTCGAAAATGAACCAAACTGAATCGAACTAAACTGAGCCGAGTTGAGCTGAAATTGCCAGTCAATTTAACACCCAACTCGGAGCACCAAATGGAGGCAGCCTCACGCCCTCTGGCATTTTGTCATATTCTAAAAGTATTAATCTCTCTCTCTCTCTCCCTCTCGCTATCTCTCTTCTTTAACACGATTCGGCTATAGAGCTGATAGCGTCGATAGATTTCAACATAAAACTTGAAGCAATTGAGGCAACACGAAAGTCCAATTGAAAAGCGCCTCAGTGAAATGTGGAAAATTCGGAAAATGGGGGAGAGCAATGCAATGCTTGACGATAAAAGCGATATTAAAAATTGTGTTAATTGCCAAAAGACTCGCCCCGAACATTGGGAACCGTTCTTCCAGCCAACCACTCGAGCGTATCAAATGTCGTAGGGGCTCAGCAAGACACAGCTCGATGACAAGCGAAAGAAGAAGACGCTCACGTCGAGTGCTAGTGACTGCAGCATACTCGTTCGCTCTGAAAGGGCTTGCTAGAATGGGCTGCTCAGCTATGATCAAGAGATCAGGGGCTGTAGAGGATATATGAGCCACATTTTGAGTCTAGTCGAAGCTGCAATCAGGCCTCATGTTATGCCATGGACATTGGGAAGATCTAGTGAAGCACAATCCAAATATACCCGTTTTCCCTTTTGAGCGAGCATGAAAGCATTTCCACTGACATTTTACAGGCGCATCAATCTCACAGCTTTTGGCTAAGTGCTGATAGCAGAGGCTATCATAAAAAACAGGTCTGTCCCATCCCGTGCTCTTCCTCCCGGCTGCCGGGTGAGTGATGGGCTCCATCTTAGCCGCAGCCCATTTTCCGTCTGCATCTCATTGAGCGCGTGTCGAGTGTGCGCGAATGGCAGTAAATTCGATTAATATGCTAATTGCAGCTGGCCACGAACCCAGCCAATTGGCCGACTGAACTGAGCTGCAGCCAATGCTAATTGTTAACCTGGCTAACTGGCTACCTGACTGACTGTCTGCCTCTCTGCACATAACTCAATTCTTTATCTGGCGCTAAAAGCAATTAAAGTCAACTTCAATCATTCGGCTAACGGCAACTGCAAAACGTTTTCTGTCCACTGGCCGCTGGCCACTAGGCAGTGCCCACTATACAGTGGAGCTGTGTGGTTGGAGGCTGCGAATACCACCAGAGCATCAGTCTCAAGCTTGTCGAAAGAGGCGACTAACAGAGACGCCTCCTATGCTCCTAGAGTATAATAATGAGAAGGCTTACCCTTTAGGCACTGAAAAGAGAGCTCTGATGATTTTGAGCATATTTATGTAACAGGCACAAGTAGGAGACTTAAAGAGAAGAACATGGATCGATAATAGTCGAATTAGACTCTCTGCATAAAATGCTATTAGCTGCTCCTTCATACCCAGCGAAGACAATACACAAATTAAAATTCGAGCGCAATTCGTTTTTGACATACACTATTAAAATTTTATTAAGTAAAAATATAGATAAAACACACCTACACATAGGAATAGAGACACTGTACATTGTACATAAGTAGCACATACATAAATAAATATATATAAATATATATATGCGCCATATTCGCAGATACAGTTATAAATAAAGTTGTACGCAGACGTAAAACGATCCTTGCTATCCTTGCACGTCAAATTTGAAAGCCAAATATTGATTAAGACTTTGAACTCGGTTCGATTTGGCCAACCTACCAAAATGTCGATGTCT